GAGATTACATTTCCAAGAAAAAAGGGAGGAGAGAGAAAATAATTCTATTTTAGTTTTATGAGAGAGAAAATAAAATTAATTATTGCTTATTTAAAACATTAAAACTATTTCTCATGTCAGATTTAATCTCAACCATTAAAAGTAGAGTAATCTAATGCCCCAAAAATTGTGTCAAAACTTGTGTCAAAAATATGGTGCCACGGATCCGCCCCTATATATATATATATATCATTGAGCTTCTAAATTGAGTTTCCCATTAGCCCCCAATTTTTAGAGTTTGAGTTTTCTAAAAGGTGAAAAAGATGGGGTGGGAGGGAGCTACGAACTGGGCAAAAAATGAGTTATCTAAAGGTGATTGAAAAAAAAAAAAAAAGTGATTTTTAACTATAATTTTCAAAAATCAATGGAGTGTTAGTTGGATTGACCCAGGTTTTTATGTCCCAAGTAATCCTGAGTTCAAATCCTCATAATACTTGTGTGTGTGTCCTCCTCCCCTTCCTAACTTTGAAAAAACAACAAAACAAGTATAATTTTGTCCCAAGTAATCCTGAGTTCAAATCCTCATAATACTTGTGTGTGTGTCCTCCTCCCCTTCCTAACTTTGAAAAAACAACAAAAAAAGTATAATTTTCAAAATGTTTGGAGAGGAAAAAAAATTTAAAAGGTTTTTCTTTTAGGGAAGAGAGAGGAGACAAAACAGAAATTAGAATATAATGACTGCATTTAAGTAGGATGTTTCGAGTTCAATTTTCTTGTGCCCTCCTGTTTCTTTCTTAATATTTTGCCACATGTTCCCATGCTAAACCTAGAGATAACACCCGTTAATTCATGGTTCAAATTTCAAAACAACAAATATTAAAAATGAAAATAAAAAAAGTTTTTTATTTTTATTTTTTAAACTCTTTGCAGTTTCACAGGCTTATCGATCTTGTTTGGGTCTTCATTCACATTAACAATTTCCTTGGAAATTAGGTCTGTTTCTTTTCTTCCCTTTCTCCCAAATTCTAATTATCTTTGACTTGTTTTGTTATCGAGAAACACGAGGAACATAACAGAGTTGATTAATATTTTTTGGATTGATCTTTGAAGAATATGTTATGCGTTTCTTCAGCAACTAAAAGAATTACTAATTTATTTTAGATATTAGTTTAGGGATTGAGAGGGATCAAAGGGTTTAAGTGCTAGATTAACCCTTGAACCAGATGCGTAGGCTACAATCCCCTGAAGGTGGAGGTGAAGACATCGATATGGCGAGGGATCAAGACGATGGAAGAGTGCCAATTTGGGCTTTATTATTGTTTCAACTTCTGAAAGGATTGGGAGGTGTTTGAACTTTGATCGATGGGTTTTTCTCATTGGATGGTTAGAAAGCCAGAGGAAGAAGATGAAGAGTACATTAAAAACAAAGTTTTCTTTTCAATCTTTGTTTTAGAGTGCTGCTAAACGAACTCTAAAATTAACTGAGTACACCCTACTATCAAACTATTTATTGAGTTACTAATTTACCCTAATATAAAATGACCAAAAAGAATATATTGAATTGTAAAACAAATGAAATTTTAATAAGTACACCCTACTCACCATATTCAACTCAACCTCTCCAAACCCTCCCCTCCTCCCCCCTCCCATCCAAATTCTCTTTATGTGCTCTAAAAGGTTTGCAATGAGTCGGAATCTTCCATGTGTATGTTGCTTTGGTCCATTAGAGTTGGTTTTCCCAGAAAACGCATTCAACCCACTCAAAACAATAATCATTTTATGTTCATCTACGGTGTTGGTGGTTTCAATACAATCTATTTCTTCTTTGAATTAGATACCTTGGGGTTTGATAGCAACCTCAACAGTCTAAGAAACAGTGCCGGTCCTGAACTTTTCAGGGCCCAGGGCAAAATTAAAAATTAAGCCTATATATATTTAAACTTAATGGTAAAATTAGGCCCCAATTTTAATACTTGAAAGAATAAGAACAGCTTAATCTGGAATTTGAGAAATCCCTCTTTGAGAAATCCCCCTCCACGGAAACAAACTTGATATTTCCAAATTTGCAATCAATTAGAACTTAAAAGAATTCCTGCAAAGAGAATATGTAATTGCATGAGTTCACAAATCTACAAACAAACCAAAAAAAAGATAAATTCATATTTCCCTTTTCAATTGATATCAAATCATAAAAAATTACCTTCAATTGATATCTACAAGGACCAATTTTGCACTGAATAAAAGCCCACACTTTGGATTTTGGAATCTCCCCAATCTACCAACAGAAATAATTTTAACCTGTAACTAAAAGAAGATGATTCACAAGGACCAACTTAGATGGAGGCTTAGGATTTTGGATTCACAAATCACAAGGACCAGCTTAGATGAGGCTTAGGAGAGGATTCAAAACTCTGTAGAAGAAGAGAAAGAAGAAAAAAAGACGAAGAAGAAGAAGAAGTAAAAGCGACCTGGAGGAGTGGAACAGGAACAGGCGCACAAAAGCATTCTTCTTCTTGAGAAGTGGAACAGACCAGATTGTTGGTCTTTTTTTTTCCTTTTCAAAATATTAAATAAGTTAATAGTTATAATAATATAATATAATACTTACTAAAAAAAAATATTTGGGCCCCCCTGAATAATGGGCCCAGGGCAGTCGCACTGACTGCCCCTGGTCAGGGGCGGGCCTGCTAAGAAACGAACCCAATTTGGCATTTTCCTTCGTCCACCAGTTGAAGGGAGATGGGTTCCAACATGATATTCTGCGCTTATTAGAATCTTATGTTCGTGGGGTCTGGGTTGGCTGTCGGTAAGCAAGGGAAGGGTGAAGTTGGGCTGTGTTAGAGAGAGAGAGAGAGAGAGGGAGAAGGGTGGAGTTGTGTATAGAATGTATTAGGGTGTACTAGGGGTATTTTTGGTAGTTAAATAGGGTGTACTTAGTTAATTTTACATTTTAATTTAAATATTAGGGTGCACTTAGATTATAGGGTATACTAAGTTAATTTTAGGGTTCGTTTAGCAACACTCTTGTTTTATTATTCAATATCAATTCGAGTTAACCTTCGTGATCTCTCTGTTAAGTATGGGACAGGTGGCGAAATATTAAGAAAGAAACAGGAAGGCACAGGGAAATTGGGCACAGGAAAATTGAACTCGGATGTTCACAACGTAGACATTATAAGATGCAATCTCAACCGTTGTTTTAATCTAATGGTCTACAAAGTGTGTTGTAATGTGTGTCAAAAATGTATGTCCCCCGATCCTGCACCTGCGTCTTCCGAAGATTGCATCACATCTGCACCTGCGTTTTCCGAAGAGTATCACATCTGCAAGAATGAGGAAAAACCAAAAGAACTTTAGTTTCCGAACTTATATACAACATATGCATTTCCTGACTTATACACAACAGATGCAACAGCAAACAAATGTATCAAGTAATTTGTTTCTTTTCCTAATGAGAATTGCAAGACAATTGAAGTTGCTCAAGAAATGCAAGCAAAGGTGATCCAGACGTTTCTCAAACATCATATATTTTGGCCTATAACACGTCATTGTTTCAGAATCAACAAACTAAGGGCAGAAACTTCTGAACTGTTTCCGAAAATAGAATTCTAATCGACAGTCCTTCAAAGGAATTTCAGTTCACAGCTCCTGATTCGCTCCACAATCACAGTTGCAGTTGTTTACTGAAAGTCCTATTGATCAAGTATCTTAAACGCTACAATGTGACAGTTTCAGTGACTTCCCATGGGGCAGGCAGATTTGGTTTTCCTCTCACTAGACTTCTATTTTTCAATGACTTCCCATTCTTTTTTAGGTGAGACCCAAGGGTATCCACCGCCGACAGCAGTGACTAATCCCTTTCGCCACGGGAGCTCTCTCAATGGAGGTAAACGGCTGGCCACGAAATGCACTCCATTCCCATGGGCGGGGATCGAACCCCCAACCTCATGGTTAAAGAATGAGGTGAGCTACCACCACACCACATCTCATGGTTATGACTTCCCATTCTTTACTCACTCCTTTCCCCAATCTCCAAACAACTTCACATACATACATTCATTCTAGGTCTGAATTGGCAAGTGTGTTAAATTGAATTGGGGTATTGATTGATTGATTTATTATTATTATTATTATTATTATTTTACTTTGGGCTTGGCAAGTGTGTTAAATTGAATTGGGGTATTGATTGATTGATTTATTATTATTATTATTATTATTTTACTTTGGGCATCTGATGATTCTCAATCACCAACATTACAAAAGGGAAGTTGTAACTTGCAATCTCTGTATGTTTTTTCGGCTCGATGATTTACTATCAAAGAGTTGTTTATTTTTGGCAGAGATCATGCTATATATTGTACGGTTTCAGTCGTTGATTAGATGCTATATGATTCTAATTTATTGGCAAATAACACAAATTTTAGGATACAACCTACTGAGTTCGGGAGCATTTTTGCTTACCACTTTAACCCAAGGTGTACCTGCACCGCCCTTCTCAACACTTACACATGTCCATTGACATAACCATAGTTTCATAAATACAAAGCAAAGAGTTAACTATGATTATATCAATGGACAAATGTCATGTGTTGAAAATGATGGTGATGGTATACCTTGAGTTAGAGTACCGAGCAAAAATATTTCCATTGACTTCTAACCTATTTTTAATTCTCATGCTTGTAAAATGGTTTGTTCTACTAACCTATTTTTAATTCTCATGCTTGTAAAATGGTTTGTTCTACTAATAGATGTATTCTGTTTCTCCCTTTAAAAGCATGTAGGGGTAGTTACCATCGTTTTCCCTCAAGGGTACCATGAAGGGTCACGAATAATGCATTAGAAAACACTATGGATCATTGTTGCAATAGGTCCACATGATACCGGAGGCTCAGACGGAAGCACAAAGTTATACTAACCACCCAAGAAACGCCAATGGAGACCATCAAGGAGATAGAGAGTTTAAGAAAACTCACAACCCAATGGAGAGGCCACCAAGGAGATACGAAGTTTAGGGATAAAAGTTCATAACTTTCATTCCAATGCTCAAGGCCCCAGCAGAAACAAAATGGGGTGTTTTAAAAGCAATAGATCCTTGGAACAACCCTCCAAGATAGGTGGCTTTCGGCATTCCAAGACAATGATAACTGAGAAATATGCAAATGGGAAGACTCTTTTTCTGGACTCTCGTGTGCGTCCAGACAGCATGCAATACCTTCACTTAAATGACGACAAATTCTTTTAGAAAATTCCAAATGGGGCTCCGTAAAAAAACTATTTCTAGACAGACTTGGCTTCCAAATTAATCATGTTGGCAATTAAATTTCAGCATCATAATCCCTGCTTTAACTTCAAAATTCGGACCCTGGTACAACCCCTTGAGATTGAGTGATTAATGTAAGAACTTGGAATTCCTTTGGGGCTGAAATTAGGAGCTGGTTTCCACAAATTCCGGTGTCACCACATCTACAATACTAACCTTGGCGGTTGCACTAGATTATTAGTACAGATGTAATATTCCCATAACCTTGACATCAATGTAAAAGACTGTCAAAGTTCATTCGCAAACGACTGTCAAAGTTCATTCGCAAACGTCATATGTAATATTCCGACAACAATTTCAGAGGAAAATCACATGCTAAGCAAGAGCTGGTGTGCAATATCGAGACTACCAAAAAATATAAGAGGTAGAATAGTACAAGCATACAGAAAAACAGAGCAAAACTTCAAAGACCCCAAATCAAGGGCAAAAGGTTCCCTCCATTTGGATGAGGGAAAATAACTCGGAATTTAGCTAAAAGTCGGGAATTAAAGAGGAGAAATTGACAAGTCCCTTGTTTGGCAACTTAAGCGTGGAATTTATTAAATGACGCGCGGAAAAAATAGTGGAAATTGGGGCATCAAATTCCCAAGTTTAATTTCCACCAAAATATGAATTATTTCACAATTTCCATAGTGCCATTCACAAAATTCTGTCATTTACAAAATTTGACATACATAAATCCAAACACTGAAATTGAAATTATGGAAATCTAAATTCCGTCATTTTAGAATTTTATGTAATTTTCAATTCCTTCATCCAAACGGACCTAAATGGAGTTTTACACCTAAATAGCAGTCATCATCAATCAGTAACAACATGAGCTTTTCTAAACCCAACTTTTTTTTTTTTTTTCTACCTTCAACAACTGAAATGGACAAATTCCTGACTCAAGTACAATAGGTTGCAAAGTTTCACTAAATAAGTCAGATAAAACTGACTCTGATTTTTATTTAAATACTATAGATACTTTGAGTTTTAAGAGAGAGAAAGAGATAGCAATACCTTTTTGCATGTTGTTAAGCTGCAGAAATTGCTTTGTACCCTTCCTTTTCTAGTACCTCTGCTAAGGAGATGTTGCCTGTCTTCACAATTTTCCCATCCTCCTATGAAATCAATCATTTAAACAATTAAATCCAAACTGAAAGTGAATCTAGATAGCAGATGTTTATTTATTATTCTGTATAATTTCTTGGCAGTCAACCATATTGAGTACCTTTTCTACGCCTTCTAAAACATTAAACTTTTCATTTAACAAAAGAAATAGATTTTGTTTTTCCAATTCTAGTAAAGTAAGAGCATGTAGCTCCAAAGTTACGCTCATTTTATATATTTCCTACGCTACAAGCATCTGGGGCTTTTATAATAAAACTCTCTAATTTTGCCCTGTTTACTAATTGATAAAAATAAAAATGAGAGGCAACTCACAGGGAGGCATTAACCAAGCCCTATTTGTCAAAAAAGAAAGCCACTAAAAAATTCCCCAGCATATTATAGGGCAAATTATGTGTTCTTCTTTCCTGGGGGAAATAATAATGGCGTCCATTATTGTATCAGGGGCATCTGACGGCATTCTATCCACTCGACCTATAGCGCATTTGCTTACAAGGAGCCATAACCATTCAGATAGCAAAGCAAAAATCTAAACCATGTGTTTAAGTAGTCCTAGATGATTCACAATGTCATACCTACTTTAAGGAATTCCTTTTTACTTGTTCCTTTTGTTTTCTAATTTCATGCAACAAAAAACATGAACTAAGACCCAAACCTTTCTCATCCATTTATGTTTTTATTTCTTCCAATGACTTACCATAATATGGATGCACGTTGGCTTTATAAATTCTAGAAGTCGTAGATAATGAGTAATCATCAATACAGAATTTCGTGGAGTCAGTAACCCATTCACTGCCTTTGCTACATCTCGAAGTGCATCAACATCCAACCCAGAATCAATTTCATCCAATATAGCCAATTCTGCCCCCAAAACCTGCATTAAGACGACGCATATGAATACGGTAAAGACATGCAATGAAGAAAGTACAGCTTAAAGAAATGTGAAGGGATGACAACCTATTAAAATCTTACTACTATATTTTCCAAGAAATACAAATATCGTAACTGCACTACATATGCAATAAGCACTAGGCATTTATTTTCTTAAGAATAAACTTTTGTTTTATCAAAATCACGTAAGCAAGAAGATTAACTACGAATGATAGCCATACCGCCAGTTGTAAAATCTCATTGCGCTTCTTTTCACCTCCACTAAAGCCTTCATTAACATTTCTATTGAGGAAGTCGGTCTTCATGTTCACAAGATCAAGTTTGGGAAAGATATAAGCATAGAACTGCAATGAGGATAAACAAAGACATGAATGAACATAAACAAGATCAAGTTTAGGAAAGAAATAAGCATTCGAACTACAATGACATAAATAAAAATATGAAAGAAGCCTTAAACCACCAGAGTCAGCTGGTTTGAAAACAGTGAATGTTTTAGCTACCTCAATTGGTCCAAGCTCAGGCAGTCCTAATTTTTTTCTGCGGGCATTGTAAGCCATGTTGAGAAAATCAATGTTGGTGACACCAGGGATCTCAACTGGAGACTGGAAACTCATAAAAAGCCCAGAAAGTGACCGGTCTTCTGCTGCCATTTCCAGCAAGTTTTCCCCTTTAAACACCACACTGCCTCCTGTAACTTCGTATTCCGGATGCCCAGCCAGAACCTGAACTAGTGAATCAATGAATGAATGTACGGATGCACATTTTCATTTTCTTAATTTTATCTTTTATATGAATTAATTGATTAATTGTTCCGAATTAATTCCAAACAAGACAAAGACAAGGCAGGGCTAATAGGTACCTTGGCAAAAGTGCTCTTCCCTGAACCATTCTTTCCCATTATGGCATGAACCTCTCCTTGGTAGACGGTGAGGTTAACGCCCTTGAGAATCTCCTGTTTCGATTCGGTAATCACCGCCGTTAAATCCTTGACTTGGAGTAGCAGCTTCTTCTCTCCTTCCTCAACTTGAATGCTATTGCCTGAACCTGAAGTTTCCACGGCGGAGGAGAGGCTGCCCGTCACCTTCACCGGCGTCAGAGACCGGAGCTGGTGGTTGTGCTGGTGGTGGTTTGAGCACCAACGGAGAGGGCGGAGGAGGACAGAACTTGTAAATACTGGAGAATTGGAGGGCAAATTATATCTAATAAGAAAAGAAGGAGAAGAAGAACAAGAAGAAGAAGATTGTGGTGGTGGTGAGGGAAGAGTGCAAGAAGGGTGATTAAATGGCAACAGAGCCATCGAGTTGCTTATCACTGCAAGTGCAAACCCTAATTCAAATTCTCTCTCTGAAAGTGGAAGCCTGGAAATTATGAAGATTGGACTTTGGAGGGAGTGACGATAACTATTAATATATATATAAATACTCCTCAACTCGACCCCATTCAACTGAACCCACCGAACTAAAAAATCAGTAAATTTAGCAAACCTATCAAAATAGTCAATTTGGCTCTTATCGTTAAGTTTTTCAAATTTCATCCAATTTTCCATTTATAATAAAGGTAAATTTGTAATTTTGACTAAAATAAAAGTCAAATACATAAAACTAAATAAAAATTTTTTTTAAAAAAAAGTTAAAATAATAAAAACCCAGCCCACATCCCAAAACCTTCCTCCTTCAACCATCGATCCTAAGGAGAGGTTACAACAGCTTCATTGCAAATGAGCAATTTCAGTTATTGTTTACCCCGAAAAGGACCCGTCGGCCATTCGCGTGGTGTTTGGCCGTGGAGTTTGCTTGTTGCGATTGCAAAGACGTGCCACTGTTGGCAGTGAAGAATTCCAACAGACTGAAAATGATAAGATTGGAAAATGCGCACCGATATCGACTTTAATCAATCGATTGTGGATTGGGTGGGGAACTGACCCAATACAAGGTTCTTTTCTATGCCTCAATTAAGAGGACTTCAATATTCATCCAGTGCGAAAATAATAACTGACAGAAGTTGAAATTGAACGGTAATGGAAATGACAGAAGTTTTGGAACCCTTTACTTTGTTTAGCATCTTTTCTCTTCCCTTTTGCAGAGAATTCCTACGCCCCATTCATCAATTGCATCTGCTCAACTCCAACTCCAACTTCCCCATAGCTGTGTGAGCTCCTCCATAGCCAGTTAATCCATTAACAGGTAACTTACTATCACATGCCAAATTCTTTATCATACTTAAATTTAAACTGATAACAACAGGCCAATTGATGGCCTTTGAATTATTTTCAGATTTTAATGCATTTTTTCCTCTCACAGCCATGGTCTGCATATATATATATATATATATATATATGTAAAACTTAAACAAATGGCAATAGGCCAATTAGTGGCCTCTCAGTCATCTTCAGCAAAATCTTCACGCCATTGACATCATGTACTGGGATATTTCTGGATATAAAGGCAACCCATTGAGTGCATTTATATAAATGCATTAGTTGAGGCTAACAAACAATTCTATCAGATGCAACTTGATCTGATGTGCCTTCTGCATGAATAGATATGAATAAATATATTGGTGCACCATATTGTTGAAGCTCAATTATGTATTGTTGAAAGGGGCACCAATATGTATTTATTCATATCCGATGTACAACAATTAAATAGATGCATTTATATTGTTGAAAGCATTCTTATGGGTTATAATTAATTGCTGTGAATTTTCAACCACACTCAAACATTGCCCCCTCGATTTCTTAGCCTTTAGTTGACAAAAGGGGAAAGGAACTGTTGGTCTTCATGGATTTATGCCAATCTCTGGCATATTTTTATCTTGGATTGAGTTAGATTCTAGGGAGGCACTACCCATCAATCTTGAAGGAACTCTTTAGCTCCTAACTTTAGGAAACCCAAGGTATTATACATACCGGTTTGCCTTCAAACATTCAATTCCCAGTCAAAACTTATGAAAGCCCGAGTAATTCTAGTGTTCTTAGCAATTTTCGTGTTTGCCATTATATGCTTTCTGATCTAGGTATTCTTGATGTTTGTAGGAGGATTATGGCGCCAGACCCAGTCACATCTCATTTGGCCAAATTGAAGAAAGCCATGGATGAAAGTCAAAACCAACCCAAGGAATCATTTGCCGTCCGACACCAAGAAAACTTATTTGTTTTGGGCCCTCTTTACTTACTTCAACCGCCGGATGATGTGGTGGTGATTTGGGCTGAACAACATGACGACCAGCCACCCTATAAAATGAAATTTGAATGGTCGAAGACTTGGGAGAAAATTCGACCTATCAAAGGTTGGCCAAATGTGCCGATCTCTAATGCCGTCACCACTGCTGGAACAAAGTCTAAGGTAAAGAAAAATAATCCAGGCGGCGATCCCAAAAGAGATTGGTATGATTGGTTCAAAGCTCTGGAGCCAAAACTGAAAACCTTCTGGCATAAGATTGGGATTTATGATGCCTTGGTTCTGTGCGCCACCGGGACTTTTCCTTGTGACCGCTCCCTTCTCATAACAAGTTTATGCTTTTGGTCATGCTCCACCAACTACATGAGGCTCCGATTTGGGATGATGACTCCTACTTTACTTGATTTAGCCGCGATTGCCGGCCTCCGACCACATGGAAAGGATTATTCAGCAGCTGGCCTTCCAAAATCTACTTCGAAGCTATCCTATAGTAGGACCAACAAATATTTCAGCAACTGGGTCGAAACTTATTTTCGCTTTGCCAAGTCCTCATCCGGAGCTCCGAGGAATGGGGTATCTTATGAGGAACATGTGGCCTTACTACAGATGTGGTTGTGCAAGTTCTTGACTTGTTCGAAATCTGGCCAAATTACCCAAGAAGTTCAATCTTTGGCTGAAGTTCTTGCAAATGGCGAAACAGTGGCCTTGGGTCCCATCTTCCTGGCATATCTCTATAGAGGCCTTCACCAAATGGTGTCGCCTAACCCCGTGTCATGCAATGTTTCGGGTCCAATATGGCTTTTTCAATTATGGCTCCATATTTATTTTCCGGAATTGGGACCATCTGAGGTCACATTCCAGAGCGACACACTTCTAGGCTTGCCAATAGCTCAACTTCCTTTACAGAAGCATCACGTCGAGGATTGCTTCGACTTCTTCTATGAATGTTCAGAGAGGTCACCTAATGATTTTTCCATCTGTCTTGATCGTCGTTACCCAAGCTATTTGGCCATGGATCTTGCCACCCCAGCTACTTTGGAGAACAGAAAAGAACGGCAAGAGCTTTGGGCTAGCATTCTCATCAACCGAGACCTTCCTTATGGTCTTGTGGTAGGCGAAGGAAGCCAATATCATTGCGGTTGCGAGATCTACTATATTGACTATAAGTCTTATTGATACTTTGTATCTTTTGCAGCTAGAGCTAGAGAGATGGGGTCGATAGCTCTTGCCGACTCCAGTTCCAATCAAGGCGAGAAGAGGGCACTTTCTTCTGACAGTGGTAAGCCGATTTCTGTTGAATTTTAGCCCTTTTATTTATTTTTTATACCTCCTATATCTTTCAGGGACAGCGGAAGATAGGCACCTCTCCAACCATGATATTGAGTTTCCACCAGCCGACAATATTTCACTCGCTCGACCGCGAAAAACCAGAAAGAACCCACATCCTACAGGCTTGGGTGTTGAAGACTCAATAAGGTTGGTGGAACTACCCAACCAATTTCATTCGACTGTGATTGCTCAATCAGCTGTTTCCTCTTCAATTGCTCCAGTGAGTTCATCTCTTTCCTCGTGTTTCCTATTTAATTTTTTAGCAAGTTCCTTAACTTGTAGTTTAATATAGGATTCTCACGCTTCCACGCTTGAGCTTGATCTCGGTGGGCTGACTACGACTTCTAGTCATGGAATTGCGGTAAGTTTCCTTTTATCAGTTGGGCTTTTTATACTTTGCCTCATTCTTACATTCCGTGGTACTTTCAGAATGAGGTAGCTGTCGACGACATGGGAGGTGTGTGCGGGGCCGCCCTAACATTTGGACACTGCACTACTGAGGCCTATCATGAGGCCACTCAGGTAACCTTGAATTTGTAATTTTTCGATTCTTTTAAAATTTCTCCTGAACCTTTCACCAAAATCCTCGGTTATTCAGGGTACAGGGTTTGGATGTGGCAACATCCCAGCCGCTCAACCGGCTATTGAGATAGAACTTCCAGCTTCTTTGAATTCAATCTCAACCCCACAAAGAAACCCAACTGATTATTTCATGGAGACGGGGACAGAAGGTCGACCTCCTCAGGTTAGTCTCGACACCACTCCACTTGTCCTCTGATGATTTTGCATTCTTATGAACCACCTTTATATATATATATTGCAGGCCGTCGAGGATATCTTTGCCTATCTGGATCAATGGGCTGCCTCAACTTCCAAAAGTGATGCTTCCACCCGACTAGCTACCTCATCTTTAACTTTTGGGATGCGACGAGATCCTGGAGCTGAAGCTTTAGTTCGAGCCTACCTAGATCGGGATTATACTTCTTTTGCCGACGAGACTGAGCGAGCAAGACTCAAAACTTCTCTTGATAATTTGGCTGCTTCTGGCTTTTTTCCTGGTCGGATCACAACTAAAGCAATCACTCATCTCTTTGAAGAAGCAGAAAAGAAAATTGTCCGCTATTCTATCGCCCAAGCGGAACTAGAGGCAGGTCGAGCCCTGAAGCATAAGGTTTCTTCGGCCAGCGCCGTTATTATGCGGAGGGTTGAGTTGGGCCGAAAGAAGCAGCAAGAAGTTCTGAGTATTGATGGAGAGGTGGAACGATCTCGTGACAAAATTAAGCAACTCCAGGATCAAGTTGAGCAAATCCAAAAGCACATTGAGCAACTTGAGGAGAAGAGGAATGCTATCATCACTCAGGTTTCCGAGGATGTTCGGAATCATAGATCGCTTCAGGCTCAACTCCAACAGGATTCAGAAGTTGCAAGGTGGTTCGGGGAAGACGAGACGAGCTTGCTAGCCATCATAGCAGACAGGAACCGAGCGTGGGAGAACTTCACGGGCTCCCTCCGTGACTTTTTCCCTAATGTTTAGATTTATGTTAGGCCGCTAGCCGGCCTGTTTTATGCTTAGCTAGACTTGTCTTTATTGTCATGCCTTATTACACTGGTTTATGTAATTTGACGAACTCTTTGACCGTTGTTCGGCCTATCGTGTGATGACTCTATTTTGTAATGAATGTATATGATGTCTCTTGACAAATCTTTTCATTGGTCATACACATTTTCTCGTCGTTAACATGACCGTGATGGATCACGTCCCCATCATCTCCCAAGAAGTAGGGTAATATTTTTTCAAAAAACGGCCATTGATGGGAGAATCATGGAGACGACCATTCTCATAACTCAACCTATATGCTCCTTTTCCTAAAACTTGGTTGATGAGGAAAGGTCCTTCCCAAGTTGGA